TTTTCCGCTTTAAATGATTCCTCTTTGTAAAGTGGCTATAGATGAAATCGATCGAAAGAAAAGAAAATGAGAACATGTCTCCAATAGTAGATCACATGTTATTCAGATAAAGACTGAACTAATTGAGGATGGGGATTTAAACAAAAGGTTGGATTATCGATATTGATGCTCTCAACAAGATTCTCATCTAAATCAATATGCGCGAAATGTACAATAAGCGTTGAAGGTGCTCTTTCTTGATACCACCAAATTGGCAGTACATCTAAATGGAACTTGGGTCAAAGGCTCAGATCGTGAAATGTTACTCATTGAAACAAATGAAATGACGGATTTAGATCAACTGACTCAGTTGAAACAGAATATTCTGCTTGATTTCATGCCAAAATTTTATTGCAAGCTTCCGTCAGATAGACATTGATGATGTGAATATTTTTTCGAGCGTTTTCAAAACAACCTACTGATGAACTTACGCAAATTACTAAATAATTATTGGGAATAGGCGAATACCTCTTATATCACATCGTTATTAATATCAATGCTTTAAGAACTTATTTTTTTTTGCATAAAAAAATAATAAAGTCAAAAATATCGATGTCTACCCTGATGAAAAATTTTTCACAGTTTAATTATAAAACATTTTCACCATTGAGAGAACATTTCATCAAATTTAAAATGGAGGGCGATTTGAGAAGCTTATTCGGCAATAATTTTAGTTGGAGGTTTAAGTGTATCAAAGTATTTACAAAAAAAAAAAAGATTTGCCAACATTGAATTCAAATTCTGAGAGCTTTAACCAGTTTCGTGCAGGTATCTCTTGTCACCTTCAGGTATTGATTATGAATAGTATGAAGTTTATTTTTATTTAAAAAAAATTGTGCAATTAGGCTGAAACAATATTAGTTAATTTTTATCCTACATAAAATATAGCATAAAATTTTCAAAGCGAATTTTGTTATACTTTTGTAAAGTGATTACACATGAGAAAATGAAGCTGGTCGACTAAGTAAAAAAAAGACACGATGAATTTTCTTAAGTGCACAAATTTCTTCCAAATTAAATCTTATTTTGTTCCCTTTAAAAGTCGTTTGAATTGCGATCCAGATATAAGTTGATCCTCTGAATGTTATTGACCTCGAGAATGACAAGAAAAAATATATATTTAGTAAAAAATCATGTTTTCCCATATATTCGATGTCAGTGAAAAATAATTACTAAAATTCTATTTGGCCACGAACAATACGAAATTATCTTAAAAATTATGCTTTTACACTCTCATAAATGAAAGAATTTAGACGTTAAAGAAGAAAAATAAGCTAAGAAATAAGATTATGGATTAATAAAGATTAAGAAGTCTACAATGAGTGATTAATTCCTTATTAGCAACTTGAATGTTATGATAAAATGGACAATCTTTTTGATAAATTGCTTGTTTGTCGATCGTAGGTTATTACATCATTTTAATTATAAATTTGATTTGAGAACGGAATGATCAAGGAAAAAAAAAATGCGAACCTATAAAGTAAAAAAGAATTATAAAAAAAAAAAAAAAATTTGATTGATGCAATGAACACTATATTTCCGCTCAAGCTTTCAATTTACTGCTGCGGTATAGGAATTGAAAATTTTTAAAAATGGAATAAAATAAAATTATTTCCTTACGAATCGAGTCGACAACTCAATAAAATATGTATGATTTTTAACCAAATGAAGTTCGTGTAACCTGAATAGTGATTTTTGCTGGCAACGAACCCATATTACAATATCCAATTTAATAACGATAAATATTAATAAAGTTGATGATTTTTATTGATTTAATATACATTATTAGTATTTTAAAAGATCAAAGCAAATATCCCTAATATTATTGAAACCTTCAGTATATCTAAGTTGTGTAACGTCGAAAAAATTTTTCCTACCCGTTACAATAACCAAATTCAATAGATTTCCTCGTGGTCATACATTTATTTTGGAAATGTATGGAATGTAGACACTTAAAAAAAAAAATTTTAAATAAAAAAAAAATTTCAATAACGTCCCTTTCCCCAAAGTTATGAACGAAGTGTTCGAAAATAAATTTTATCTTTATCTACTTTTTTAACCCAAACTCATGTCATCAGTTGAGATAAGAAGAGAGTCGAAGAAATAATTGTTGCTATTTTGTAAAATTTGAATGTTGAGTGACAATGGGCAAGGGTGAGTATCTTACTGAGTTATTTTGTCGAGTCATTGTATATCCGAAGTTACCCTGCTACTAGGTTTAAAATGTCTGGGAAATGAAAGCTCTTCGTGGCCACGGTTTCAGCCGTGAACGGTTCATCCCTGTTTCCGAAGTCCCAAATGCTCTGCGCTGGGGATTGTAGTGAATAGGAATACAAATCAGTTCTACTTGATTTTGATGATGATGACGCGAATGCCCATTTGTTATTCAATGCAATACTTGAGAAGAGGTATGTTTTAATGAAATTTAATGATAATTTATAATATATAATGAATATCATTTAATAAAATTTCTAAAATTTCAGGATTATTTGTTGTACTAGAGGTGCTCTTCTGACAACAATCATTGTCGTAGTGGCTCACTCTAAAGATAAAAATAGATTTACTCGTGATGCCATTGACGATTCTCACTGATAGTGCAGATTGGTATTCACATTTATCATAAGTCGCTGGTCGACTTGGATTTTAAATTTTATCTATCGCTATGTACTTTTTTACTTTTAAATATTTTTGCATCTTTTATTTTCTATGTATTTATCCCTGGATACTATTATTTTCATTTCATTCATAATGTATTTCAACTATCGTTCCCACGTGACTTTTATATTTGGGTTAGAATTAATCCGTGAACGTTGTGAATTCCCACTAAAAAAAAAAAAAACCTGGTAATCATTTCCACAAATCGCGCCAAAAATTTATTTAGATTGTTCATGATATGGATAGCATTGAATCTTCGATTTTTTTTTTATGACCGCCGGATTAAGTAAAATTAAAATATTAAGATTATTGCTTTTTTTTCCATATATAAATGCTCCAGCTTCGTAAAGTTGATCCATAATTCAGAAATTAGATGCAGCAGTATAAAAAAGTCCATAAACTTAGTCATGTAATTCCACAAATTATTTTGTATTAAAATTGGAATATATTTTTTATGTGTAATCAATCCCAAGCTGCACCAACAAAAAATCACCGGCACGTGACATATGAAAATATTTGTCACCTCGTGTCACACTTTTCGCATTTCCCATTTTCATAAGTATTCTGATACAGAGATATGTTTGTCACGCTTATTTGTCAGATTAATTTCATAACGTCACACCTAATGTCGGCCAAAAGGTCACGTGCCGGTGATTTTTTTGTTGGTGTAGCTGGGGAAGTTCAACAATACTAAATAGTCACGTGATTTCGAATATCGAAATAATAGCAATGTTATACATTGTTAATTACAAACATTGTTAGAATTAATAAAAATGACAAATACCAAAAATGAATAAAGATAAAACATGAAAAATAAAGATTAAACAAGAAATAATTATAAAGTATAAATATACAAAGAACTTATCAATTACTTAGATATAAATAAAAGATTTTATATTAAGTTAATAAGAATTTGAAATAAATGAAAAAAAGTAGATTGTAATTTATAAGTTTTTCAATTCACAAAATTAAAAATATAATAAAATTTATAATTAAGCAATTAATTTATGATTTTAATTATAAAAATAATGTTTCAATAAAAATTATAATTATAATAAAATTATATTTAAATAAAAATAACAAATAATTATTAAAATATAATTAGATATTAATAATAAATTTGAATACAAATTTAAAAAAATATTTAATAGATAATAATAAAACTATAAATAATTATATATAGTATCGGTATATAAATATAAAAATTAATTTATAATAAATTATTTAATAAATAAATGGCAAAAATATATTAAATATATGGATTTTATATTTTTTCGCAAGTATGATTTAATGCACCCCTATTAATCATTTCCTTTTTTGATATATACATTGTGATTTAATGTACCCCTATTGATCATTTACTTTTTTATATATACTTTTTATTTACAACATACTTTTATTTATTTCTTTTTTCAATTATTTTCTTTTTGATATTTACTTTTGATTACGGCTTATTTCTATTTATTTCTTTTTTACATTAAACATTTAGATATATATTTATCTACATTTTTTTTTCGCTACATCCTTTACAGCTTTCTTTTTGCTCTTTTTTCCATTTTACTTTACTATAAGTGATCAGACTGATTATATATTTTTTTTTACAAATACTATATTATCTATATCACATAATACTACTTTTAATAATGTATCTTTAGATCAACAACAAGTGAACTTAATATGAATGAAGATGATGAAACAGTTTTATATAAAGGAAAGGTCTTTGATACTTGGCAAAATGCTTTTGATATTATTGAAGAATGGGCAAAGCAGTAAGGATTTAATACTATGTATAATCAGGTTAAAAGAAACACAGATAGAATTTTTTGCAAACATATTATGTAATGTGAATATTTTGGATGTTAACAAAATCTAACAGTAAACAAATGTTAATAAAGCATGTAGGTTGTACTTGACAAATAAATTTATCAGAACCAGTATCTCAAAATCTATTAAAAAATGTCTATATCACTACTTTTTATATTCTAATAAGATAAGTTTCTGTAGGTTCATGAACTTTATATTTAATATTTGCTACTTTTTTATGCTTTAATTCATATGTGGGTTCACTAAGACCTAACTTTAATATTACATATTTCTTAATAGCAGATGTGATTATTAGAGGTGAATAATTTTTAGCCATTTTTATTTCAACTAAACATCTAATAGCTTTTGGCCATTTTAATCTATCAATTTTTAATAAAGAATACGTATAATTAGATGAATTTTTATATTTTTCTACTTGAACTACATTTGAAGAAGCTATCCAAAAAACTTAAATTATTACAGAATATATGCCAGATAGCTATATTCTAGTTATTCAGCATTTTTCATTTGGGATATTCTCTTTTTATTAGGTAATTGACTTATGATATTTCATAAATTGACAGATGAAGATTTTTTAAATATCACCATTTATATATTATATGAGTCCCATTTCATCTAAATATTCAAAATTAACAATCACTATTCTTTATTAAAAACTTCTATTAAAATTTTTAAAGTGCAGTTTTTATCAAAAAGAAGGTCTCATTTTTTATCTAATATAAGATTTGATATTAACATTATTATTAGAGTAGAAGAAGCTAGGATAGATATATTTTTTTGAAAAAAATAAATACACAATATTGTAATAATAACATAAATTAAACTAATCATCATTTGATACTTCTGATTAATCCTAAAATTGTATTATGTGATTTGCCTTTACTTTAGATGATCTTTAATTTTGAAAGTGATTCTAAGGTCTAGAGTTTATAGAATTAGCTTTTGAAGGTATCAATCTAGATAGTAAGCCTTAAATTAATATTAGTGAGTAAGTTCTGATTAGAACTTAAGTCTAACCATGATTTTAAGAGTTTTAAGATTAAATATGTGATGCTATTTAGTAACTTCTGAGAATGCTAAAATGATTGCTATAAAGATTTCTAGTATTTAGATACTGAAACTAAAAAAATTTAGTAGAATAAGACAATAAAAATCAGCATTCTTAGTCCAATTAGCAATAATTTAGTTCTTATTGTGAATTATACTATAATAGCCACAAGTTTAAGTTTTAGCTAAGGTATAAAACTAAATAATTTTCATAAGAATTTTATATGTAACTGACTACATAGATATATATATTAATATATATTAGTAACTAATTAATTAATATATTGATAAGCATTAATTATATCTAAATACTAAATTTTGAATAATAAGTAAATGTAAATAAAATTAAGGATTGACAGAAACTTAGCTTTTGCTGATAAGTTTATAATAAATACTATTTCATATCTTCAAACTCTAAAATACTTAAATAAGTAAAAAAGCGATTAACTAGTAATTAATAGATTAGATGATACTCTCAAGTAACTATAGTTAATAATAGATTACATTACATTACTACAACAATTATCCAATCAAGTTATTATTTAGGATAGAAGTCAGATTCAATTCTTAAATATGTTTATAATAGCTATCAACCTTTCTGAGTTTTATAAGAATGAAATACTATTCAAGCCTTTTTAATCATATATAAGAGTCTCTAATAGAAGCCTGCAATAGATTAGATCTGATGCGAGAATTCAGCTCAGATACTGATTCTGAGCTGAATACAGGCTGACAAATATAATTTTGAATTTTTTGAACCAGGTTTAGATTTAAGATACCAGTCTAAATTTTTTTATAATTTTAGCAAAAATTATTATTTAATTAAAATTAAGCTGTTACTGATTGTATAATAAAATATTTTATTGTTGTATATTAATTTCATATTGTATATCAACAAATAGTATTATTTTAGTATTACATAATACTTTTCATTAATTCTTTTATTTGTTTATTATAATAATAATTTGTTAAAAAATTGTAAAAAAAATAGATATTATTTTTTTATAATTTGTTAAATAAAAATAAAATGATTAAATTGTTAAATTTTGTATCATTAATAATTATAATTAAGTTTAAGATAGGTTAGACTAACATTTTAATATATGAATTTAATTTAAACTGAATCAGGTTGGCATTTTAATTCTTAGCTTAAAGTCTAAGCTGGACTGAGCTTCAAAATTTAGACTTATGCAGGTCTCTACTCCCTAATATTGAGTAAAGTTATAGTAATTTTAATTGAAATTTGGCAAAGATAAGAGATGTAATGATTTTTAATAGCTAAAGTGATTTCTCTATTTAAATTTAACAGTAGTTCTGAATACTATTTATTATGATATTCTAATATCAAGCGTGATTAGTCTAGATTGTAATTTTTAGATCAATATTATTAAGGCAGATTCTGATTAATACCTAATTCAACTATGATTTAAAGAATTTTAAATGATTAATATCTAAACAAATTATCTTATATTCTCCTGTTAATGTAATATAATTTGTTAATAGTATTTTTAATATTTGACACTGTAAATAAAAAAACTATGTAAAATTATTATTTAATTTATTATAATCCTATTATATAATAATAAAGAATTGGATATATATAAATTTAATATTTAAAAAAGAATAATAGGTTTGCTTTAATTTATAGTATAATTATTAATTTATAAATAATTAATTAATGAGTTATAAATATAATAAAAATTTATTCTAATAAATAATAAATTAACATAATAATACTTATGTAATTACTTTATTAAAATGTTAAAGTTACAGATGAGTTATTATTAAATGATATTTAAGTATTTACTGACTTATTTATTATTAATAAACTGAAAACAAAGGAAATCTAAGACATCTTACAGAAAATAAAAAAATGAAATATGAAAAAAAAATAAGAAGAATATGAATTATAAGAAATAATTGAATGAAAAATAATGAAGATAAATAATAAAAATAAATGACTAACTTGAAATATTAAGATTATATATAAAAAAGAAGGATGGTGCTAAAATAATAAAAATAAAAATAAAGAAAATTAATGAAATAATGAATTTAATATAATTAATATTTGGATAAAATAAAATAAATAGAATAATCACATATATTGATTCTTAGATAAATAAAAATTTATTTGTAAAATAAAATCTTTTTAAAGATGAGTGATAAAATGATTTAAGAAGATAAGCTTTGGTTGAAGCTATTAAACTCAGAAAATATTGATAATTTGTATAAATAATATTTTAGCGATTACAGCATTTATATATAAATTTAAAACTAGAAAATTCTTTAAAAAAATATTTTAGTTAGTTAATATATCTATTCTTAAGAAATTTAAGAAAAGCTTGACCAGATAATTTTCTAAAGGTAGTGTATTTAATATAATATGATTTGCTTTTTAATTTAATTTATAAATTAAAATATTTTAATTTTTAGGTTTTAATTTCAATTTCATATATAATCAAAAAATTATAAGTTATATGGGTTGATTTCTAGGAAAATCAGGTTCCGGGAATTTTTTAACAAAATTGAGATTTTTATTGCATTTTAGTTTTTGATGTTATTAGATTAAAATGTATTAAGCTCTTAATTTAAGTAAAAAATTTCTCGGAACCTGATTTTCCTAGAAACCCTTCCATATGATATAGCTTTTCCTTAGCTTCAATAGTTATTTTTTCTTGAATATCCAATTTTTACTAAATTATACATCCTTATAATTGAAAGATTATTCATCAGTCAAAATTATAGATAAAAATTAAAACTTTTTATGTTAATTAATTAATCAAGCAAGGACTGCAGAGAATGGAAAAAGGAATTAAGAAAATGTTAGAATTAAGCAACATGAATTTTTTTAATGACAATCCTCGTTTTTTATTAATTTCATTAATCATTTTATAATTTGCTAGAAAAACATTTTGTAAATAAAAGGCACGGTACATTTACAAAAGGATAATTCAAAATGAAAGATAATACTTCATCGCAGTAAGTTTCTGCGAAACCACACTACTAATACTAACTTTACGTTTTTTAATTTATGTAAATTAACTAGATAAATATATTATAAACTTTTCTATATGGGTTTCGGCAATAGAAATGCACCATTAAACATAATAAATTATTAAGTATGAGATACACTTCTATTGACAAAGCCCTTTATGCTACAAATGTTACATACTATAAAAGCGATTTTATTAAAAATAATCTTATTTTTTTTAATTCATAAGCTTAGATTTCTATACAAAATACTAAAAAATATTATAAATCGGGCTATCGATCGCTCAGTGTTTCAACTAATGAAAAGGAATATTCAAAAGGTCGGAAAACGAAAAACTAATTCTGCGCATATCATCATTATAATCAAATATCCAATTCATGTTAGCGATAAACGAAATGAATAATAATACAGCACTGTTAGTTTTCTTTTCTATTCTTATTTTGACTAACTTTTTTTACTTATTTATGCTTTCGTTTGCAATTGGCCGCAATAATAATTAAAAACCTCGTATTTTCGTGCTTTTTTAATTTTCATGTTTATTAAAGCTCTTTTTCATTTTATTTTTTTTTTATTTTTAAATTTAACTTGTTTTTCGATAGATCGTTGATTTCACATAGTAACAGCCTTCCTTTCCTTTTACTTTTCATTAGATTTCTGAATTACATCAGGCCGCTTGTCAAATTAAACGATAGGTAAAGAACTTTTTTTTTTGTGCTTCTTTTTTTTATTTTTTATTTTATTTTTTATTTTTGTTTGTATTTTTCCGAATTAGATAGACACGATTTCGTCGTTGCACATCAAACTGATTTAGTTAATTTAATTGCGAATCCAATTTATCGTACAATAACAATAAATATTAAAAAGATCTATGACCCATTATATAATTAGTAGCTCGGTATTTTAGGATGTAAAGCGAAATCTAGATACACGTGTATTTAATTTTTAAAATTGAGAATTAAAAGCATTCTGATGTCATGGGACACGATGTACTTTAATCTGATGACCCGAGGCCAGATTCAATCCCTAAGAGAATCAGACAAGAACGGTGTCATCTTTAAATTTAACCCTTAATGCTTCAGAAATCCAAATTTAATAAAATTGATTCTCACATGCATTTTCCACCATGGTGATATTTGTAAGTAAAATTTCCTCATCCCTATGGCCGTCATTTCAAAAGTTTAATTGAATAAACATATATTTTTTAAAACATTGTTCAAGAACTTAAACAGTTGTCTACAATAAAGTTGTATAAATTATCTAAACCTTGATCGCAGATCATGAATTTTAAAAGCTGATGAAAAAGTTGATTGAGGTGATGATGAAAATCATCAATAGATGGCGACGCGGTGTTGATATGACAACCAATCATGAGGGTTATGAATTTGAAGTTGGAGGTGGAAATAACAATAATGGTATATGAAGACGTCGTGTAAAAAAGTCAACATCCAATTGAAAATATGAAGAGGAAGGTTGAAAAAATTTACAAATTTTTGATGTTGTTTTCAATGTTGATTATAGCGCTGGAGGTAAAAAAAAATTCTTGATTACGGTGTATACTGGTTTATAATGATTTCATGTTGATACAGGTCGTCATTGATATGCGCAAAATTATCCACAAACCCATCAAAGAAAAATTGCTTAATAAAATCACAAATGAAATTTCACGGAGCCTAATGTGAAACACCAAAAAAGACTGTAGTTTGTGTAACGGATAAATAATGTCCTCAAAAGGTGAACAAACACACTTTTTTTTTTCTTTTAAAAAAAAAAAAAAAAAATATTATAGTTGGAAACAGATTGACTATTCGATTCTTTCTTTTTTTTATTTTTAATATAATATTTGGTCAATTTTTTTTTTGATAAGAGACAATCCATAATTATGGAATTTTTAAATCATATGGAAGTTGTAGAAGTACAATTAAAAGAATTTCATAGTATTCTAAGTGATGAAGTTATTAAAGATATCAGAAAGAGTTTTAAAGAATTTATCAAGTTACCAAAGATTTTTGAAAATTATCAGAATATCGTTAATTACGACATTTCATTACGTAAAGTAGTAGATCGTTTAATTGACGAAAGATTAATAAATAGTTCTCAGGAATCTAAGAATCCATATAGCAACAATGATGACCAGCAATTTTTTTCTTCTTTGAAAGAATTAAAATTATTAGCTAATCAAATAGCTTATCTAAAACGAATTGAAATGATACGGGATGTGTTGAACTCTCCTAATAAAGAAGATATCTTGTTTAATAATGCTCTGTCTGAGGAAGAAATTAATAAACGATACCGCTGAATTTCCATCCTGATAAAACGAATCGAACTAATAGCCCGTGTTCTCTTCAAGGTGAACATAAAAAACTAGGCGCTGAGCTATTTGGATACATTACAGAGATTAAGGAAGGTTTATTGACGAATTATAAGAAAATCTTAAGTAACGAAGGTTGGATGTTTCATAAAAAGAACTTTGGAAAATTACGATAGACTACCGTAATGCGGCTAAAGGACAATGGGATAAGCTCAAAACATTAAAAAAAGATGACATCAGTGGACTTACTTCTAAAGATCTGGAGTATAATAGCGTAACATATGGATTGCTAGCCTATCGGGAATACAGAGACGCATGTAAAATTGTTGATAAAGCTAAACAACTAAAATAACAAGTAAGGTTACGAGGATGTATCGCATTATGCTTATATGTCTCTAAGAAACTTTTAGAAGCCCAGTTATATGCATTGGCAGCAATTAGATTACAACTTAAGAATTCTCATGAAGTCACGTTAAATGATCTGAACGAGGCAAAAAAAATATTTGATAAAGTTAGAGGTAGGAATACTGCCGATGAAACTTCTGAATTACAAACTGTGATTAATCTGAAAGTTGATTCTAATGACTCGCGAGCTTTAGTAAAAATAGTGGATCAAGGGATTTCATTTTCCGACAAAATATCTTATTAGCGTTCAATTGATGATGATATGCGAAAGATCGGTGTTGATTTATTGCTCAAAGCGGACCGCAGCTTGGCTCATTATCAAGTACCTAAAAAGGATATCTTGCATGTCAGATATAAAGCTTCTAGCCTTAAAGGAAGAGGAATTGGAATAATGACAACTGGTGTAGGTGTAGGAGTAGCAGTAACCGCAGCTGCTTCGTAGAGATTAATACGGCCATTTTGTTAGGAATCAGTACAGTCGGTGGTCCAATCTGGTTGGCAATCGGATTAATGGCCTTTGGTATGGGATTTGGGGCGGTTCAAGCCTATGGAAAGAAGGCAAGCACCTGACAAAAATGCCAGGAATTCTCGAAAAACTCAATTGTATAATGAAACGAGCACTAAAATGTTATGATGAAGGCGACCATCAGCAATTTATCACTATACTTTCTGAGGAGTATAAAACGAATACTAGTCTTATAAAATTAAGGGATCGTTCAGATTTTATCGATACTAAGAAAATCGTGGAGACACTTCTAGACTATGGTTTTCGATCGGATGGTATTGCATACCTATTGATTTTGCTTGGTGAGGTCTTAAGTAGTGGAAAAATTAAAATTGAAGGAATAACAACGAAGGAGTTAATATCACAAGCAAAGCACGTTCTTACTGGGGTGAGGTTCGAGATTCTTGACGAGATGGCTAAAAAGCTCGATGACCGCATTGATGATGCATTGCGAAAAAAGGACAATCTTTTTAGTGTTTTAAATAAAGTTAACGATTTTATTTTTATTAAGAATTATAGTAACATAGATAAGGAACACAAGGGTGATGCTCAAGAAACGTCCTTTCAATCAAGGTTAGAAGAAATGCGCAATTTTGCAGAAATTAACCTCGCGATTTTTGATATTATTGACGGTGGTGATGAAGAACTTGAACGAGCTAGAAAAGCTATTGAGAAAATTAGAGATCAAATCTGTCGATATGGTTTTGCTGTATTGCGCTTAGAAGTTTTGGAGGATTTCTTGTTTGTCCTTCATGTTTTAGAATTACTTAAAATCACTTTTCCTGTGGAATCAGGAATTCAAAGTCATTGATAATAAACTTCGATGATTCTTCAGATTTTATCTTGGTGATTTTTCTTAAATTTTTTATGTGGCAAAATATTATTATACATCAATTTTGTTTTATTCCTAGTATCAATAATAAAGGCTCGTGTCAATTGACCTTATATTTCATTTATTCAATCTAATTATTTAATGATCTATCAATTGCAAACGTTACTAACTCTGAAGAGTAAAAATTAGCCTTTAAGATCACGTTACACAATTAAATGTTGACGTGTTCTTGTTCTATGAGGGTTACATCTTTATACAGTGCCCAAGGACCTATCAAAGTGCAAGTATATCATATCTTTAAAATATAAATTAATGAACGAAGTTTAGTTGAATGAAAATGTTCCCTATTTAATCATGGTATATTTTACAAATTTTTCATAAAAAAAAAAGCATCTTAATTTTTTAACATCGCATGTCACATACTATATAATCACAAATTTCTTAACATAAGTAAGGAACGACACTTAAGTATTATTTTGATTACAATATACCCAGACTAGAAAAATTTAAGCTTATTTATGAATTTATAATCGTTTTGAGAAACATTATCGAGCAATGGAAAAGTAAATAGAAATTATTAAACGAAATAAATCATTTTTTTAATTATTTAATGTTACGAAAATAAATTGGACGTTTACAAACCGCCAAAATTCTGTATGCATGTATGAATTTATTTACTCTGAATCAAGTGTTTCCGTTATTTCGTCTCATATAATTTTTTTTATGTAAAAAATAGAAGAATAACATTTTTCATTTTCTTTATAAGGATGAATTATACCTTGATGCATTTTCTATCATTGTCACTCTATTTTAACAAGCGAATACCATGTTTCTTTATATACCATAAATAATTTGATGTTTTTATTTACCTAACCTTCAACTTTTCGAGTCAAATAATTTGAGACATCATCCCACAAAATACAACGGTACGTATCTTGCATGTACATTTGAACATTCGTTCACTGCATTTAATGTTTAATAAAATTTCCATCTCTCTTTTAAACCGGGATCTCCATGACATAAATCAATCTCAACTTGTTTAGCACAAAGAAAAGCTTGTACAATTTTTTTAACCTGATATGTAGAAAGTTTATTATGTCTCTTTTTACACTGGTTGACTAATCTACAAATTCAATATATATATTGTACATTATACTTGATGCTATATGCTTTGTTTTTCATACGAGAAAAGGTTCAATTGTTATCTATGTTTACTTTCATTATTAATAAAGTTATTATTTAGAAAAAGTTCTCTCAACCTAAATTGAGAATTAAAAAAGAAAAATTTTTGCTTAGTTTATTTTAGATCGATCGTCGATCGAACATTTTTATCATACCGCAATTTAAACTTCCTCTTTCAGTTAAGCACTTATTTTTAATTATTGAATGCATTATATTTCATTATCTTAATATTTTTTTTTTTTAGGATTCTATTGCTCAAATGTTTTATTTTTTCGATACAAAAGAACTTATTTACATTGTAAAGCTATGTAATTAAAATAAAATCAGGCTCATCCTGCAAACTCAACGTACTTTCTATATAAAATAAGTAATCAAAAAACAAAAATAACGATCACTATTAGATAGTAAAAATTCTTACTTGCTATTAACTTGAGAGTTGATTTCTAAGTCTTCAATATCAGGTTTTTTAGAAATTTCAGATCAAACTGTGAATATAAATGGACGATTATATATCACAGCCGAGCATTTGAAACATTTTGTGTTGAATTTATATTTATTGCAGTTGTCTATAACACATCATAAAATCCTCGAAAATAATTCAAGTTTTTTTTGAAATATATTCTGATGAATACAAATCAAAAAAAAATTTAATTAATAAAACTTAAATAAAAATTTTTAATGTAATTTATATTAATTGATAAACCTGACTTGACGGTCAATGGTTCCATACTAGTTAGAGAAAACATTAAATTTGCAAAAAAAAATGTACGTACTATTACGGGAGAATTCACCAGCCTGCTGTTAGATTGTTTACACAAAGCCTAATAAAGATTAATTGTATCATCATTACTTACTGATATCTTCGATGGAACTGCATCAAGTGGTGTGTAGTTTAGCTTTAGTATTAATAGATTAGAACAGTGCATATTATGGGAGTTTTACTATTAAATCACTTTATAGATCATATGTAAATAGCAAACGATCCATATCTTGTCACCAAAATTAGAAACTCAACACAATCAAGGTAAAAAAAAAATTCACACCATTCCATCATACCTATTGCTAAACGCTCGAGGTTTTCCAAAAGGTCGAATAGACGCATCTGGTCATCACTTGTTTTTTTTTTTTTTTTAGACATCGATAGTAAGTAATAGAACATGAAAACCAATAAAGTAATAACGGTCTTTTTTCCAAAGCCTTACATTATGTCTACCTAAGTTTTAAGTTTGTATGTCAATATGCTACCCCAAATTAATAATTGCTATAAAATCAATATTACTGAATTTTATTTATTTCTGGATTGTTTTATTAATATTTCGGTTAGTGAAATTTTTGAAAATTATAATAATAAATTTGTTTCACTTTTGAATGATTACGACTAAATTCAATTAAAATTATGAAAATATTAATGTTATACGTTAATTTCTTTATAATAAAACCTATATAATATTGATGATTCATTCTTTATCAAAGAATTAGTGTTTATTGAACTTTTCTCGATATTAATTTAATGATTTTCAGATATAACTGCACCTTCAAGACCGGGATAAAGAGGGTGTGCAAATGTATTATTAACATATTTATTTACATGTACAATATTTTTTGTATTAATGATAATCGAATTATGTAACAGCTTTTCCTAAAACTATCGTTATTCAGACATCACAATCTTTAGAAAGCTAATATGTAAAGAAATAAATAAATATATACGTGCATGATTATCTTTTTTCTTAGAAAAGAATTTTTTTACAGTATTTCTCATTAAATAATCCATATAAAACGTCTTCAAAATTGAAGTCTTCATCCTTTTTCAATTATCCAAAAACCGACTACACTTAATGGTCGATGATTTCAATACGTTACCATTCGTTACAGAATTAACATCTTTAAATCTATCCCAAATTGCCAATTTTTTTAAGTATAGATTTTGATCATTTTTAATTTAGCTTTCTGGTGGTTAAAAAATCTTAATTAACGATGGAGATGAAAGCAAATCACTTCCATAATAACTTTAGTCAAAGGAAAGGTTTAGAAATGTAATCAAGATTTGGATTGACTTTTCAGAAAAATTATTAATAGTGAGGTTACGTAATTCGGTAGATAATTGAATATTTTATTTAAGCAAAAAATATGGTTTCAAGCCACATCTACATCTAAAAAGAAATGATAAGAAAAATAATTACAATATTTCGACAGATATTAATTTTAAAGTATTTGTCATGAATGTAAGTCAATAAAGACCGCGAAATTATAACTTTAAAGTCGAAACATAAGGTTCTGACTTTAAATGAGTTTTTACCCGCAACTATAAAGCGTATCTTGTAATTCAAAACACCACTATTTGGGGGAAATTCCATTTACCATTATCTTTTTAACTACAAATTTACATACATTGCAGAATCATTATTAAATGTGGGAACAAACTTTTCTGCAAATGTCATAATTCCATTTGAAATGCTCTGTTCCGGGTGCTGTTCAAATTTCCGAAGGTACGTAATTCTGAATTGAAACTATTGTCCCAAAAGTTACATTATCCCGAAATTCGGATGTGATATGATATTTTGAACTTTGCGATTTCGAGCTTCAGGATATCATTTCATCAAAGTTCAATAACTTACATTTATAAATACTCGTTAGATATTGAATCTATAATGATTAATGGATTTAAACTTTTAATCAATTCTCATTTGCAACTTTTACAACTCAACTACAAGCATCAGAAGCTTCTAAATCATAAAAAATAGCATCCAATACTATATTATTATATTTTTTAGATGAAAAAATAAGATTTGCGAGTACAAATGAAAAAAAGTAATAATTGGAAACTGTGTATTTTTAATATGTAAATTTTTGAATTCTTGTAATTTATTTTTATTTATTTATTAACATTATGATTACAATGTATAAGTTAATAACGTTTGTTAGAATCTATTAATATACAAAGAATATATCATTCACTCAGACTCTCCTGATTCCTACTAGTTTACGGTTTGCTATTATAAAATCGCGTTATGATCATATGATATACAATGTTAGCATATTCAAATTGAGTATATTAAATTTAAAAGTTAAAATTAAGCTATTGGTATTTGATTCTAAATTTTATAATATTGGTATTATCATCACTTTTCAAGAGAGTATAAATATAAACTGGACAAACAAAATTTCAATGTTTATTTCATATGATATACGAATAAAATGTTCATTTTATACAAGATACCAGAAAATTATCAAGAAACTTGGATAATATGACAAAATAAAAATTCTTTACAGAATATAATATAAAAGATATAACTAGATAAATATTTGTAATCATAAAGAGTATGGAACTAAAATATAAATAATAGAACTTAAAATTATTGGTTCTTATTTCTTTAAAATAATAAAGATATATAAATAACTTACTGCTATTTAAATCATAATGTGTTTCTGACATAGCACTATCCAAACTGATAGATTGATTCGCTTGAATCAAATCGTTGTTTACTGTAGATTATTTAATACAAAGCATTTAGTATAAAAATAATATAATTATATGCATTATATAATACATACCTTCAGTTGAGGTATTTTTAACATTTATTTCCATCTCCTTAGGATCTAAGTTCACATAAGTTGAATCATCCATAACATCTATTCCAAATCCCATCTTTTTAAATTCTTCTAATATTTTTCTAATCCTTGGTCTTTTCTCTGGCGTTGAATCCCAACACTTTTTATAAAGATCTTCATAAATTTTAGGCGTCCCTTCTATAGCCTTTTCACGAACTCCTTTAATAATTTCAATACGAAGTAAATGTTCTTCATTTCTAATTATATTTTTAAATGGAGGAACTTCGCTAGAAATTTCCCACATTAAAACTCCATAACTATAAATATCTGAAAATTTTGTATATTGATAATTTAAATCTAAAAGTTTTTTTGGATCAACGTACGGAATCCTACCAAAAGTTCCGATAATATTGATAGAATTTTGAGTATTCATATTTTTTGAAATTCCAAAATCCGTGATTTTAGCATTGCCATTGTGAATAACTATATTCTTTGAATGCTAAATTTAAAATATATATCTTCAAATAAATATCTAAAGGATTTAATTAATTATAACAAATAAATAAGTAAAAACTAATACTTACAAGGTCTCTATGCAAAATATTTTCATTATGTAAATAGTTTAATCCTTCAGCGATTTGAAATGCTAATTTTTTCTTATTTTCCCAAGTTAAATTTTTATGATTCTTTTCAAGATAATTTTGAAGATCGCCACCATTGGCATATTGCATTATAAGAAGAAAGTCTTTTGTGTTTTGATCTATAAGAATGTATGTTAATATTAAAGATAAATATTTATTTATTTAACTAAATTATTAATTACCTTGACTAATACCTAAGCAACGAACAATCCGATCACTAGAATCAAGACATAAATGTATTTGTAATTCATGGATAAATGCATTTAATATGTTACCTTTAATGGCTTCTATATTAGTTAACCTTTTATAAACAACACAACTTCTAGTTTTTATCCAAGTAGCTTTCCTAATACATCCAAACCCTCCACTGCCAAGTTCCTCGGAATTTATTAAATCGTTAAATAATATAAGTTTTACTTTTTCATTTTTTATGGCATTCTCTATCCATTCAATTGCATTATCTTTTTGATTATCTTTTTTATATTTTTGAAAAACATTAAATTCTATATTATTTTTAGTTATTTTTAATTGATCAAGAGTTGAAACAATTTGTTGCATATTTGGCCGTTCATCTGGTTCATATTTCCAACATTCTTGAAACAAATAGATAAATTAATCATTATCAAATCAGTTTTGTTAAATAAGATAAAATAAGATTAATATTATTTACCTGTATATAATCTGCTATATTCAACAGGTGTATTAGGAAAATTTTCTTCATTTCTTTCTTGCATAATATTATTTTCATCTTCATTACAGGATGGTTGACTTCCACTTGAAATTTGCCACATCAATACACCAAAACTATAAACATCAGATTTTTTATTTAATTTATAATCTTGATCTTCTAAACCTTTTGGATCTATGTAAGTTCTAGATACTTTTAATATTTTGTCAATATTCTTTGATAAACCAAGATTTTTTAATTTGATATTTTTTTGATGTATAAATATATTTACTGCATTCTATAATTTATATATTGATATGAAACAAATTGTTAGTAATTAATAATCAGATTAAAATAATTTATAAAAATTGATAAATTACCAGATTACTATGAACAATATCATTTTCATGTAAATAAGATACAGCACTTGCAAGTTGTATTGCTAATTTATATTTTTCATTCCAATCAAGTTCATTAAAATGGTTATCTAAATAAGAATTTAAAGTATTACTATCAGCATATTCTAAAACTAAAATGCATTGATTTATTACTAAAATAAAATTGTATATTAAAATATATTAATATTTAGGATTTATATTAAGTTAATAACTTTAAAATTTTGATTAATTACTTACTATTCTTTATATTTGTAATCCCATAAAATTGTATAATATTTGGATGATATTTAATTATTTGTTGTAATTTTAACTATATATGTATTTTATTAGCTTAATAATAATATTTAAATCAAAATAATTTATCAATAAATTAAATAATTCATACCTCATTTTTAATTTCTTCAATAATTCTAGTATTATAGCATTTAAATGATTTTAAAATAACAAAATTATCTGCATATTTCCAATTAGCACAATGAACAGTTGTAAATACACCACCAATTATTTGTATATTTTTGAATTCTGAATATACATAATTACGAAAATATTTTTCTTGATCTATAATTTCATATAAATTTTTTTGATCCAATATTTTATTTATTTGTTTTTGATCTGAATTTAATTCATCATTAGTTATATTTAAAACTTCTATTGCTTCTGATATTTTTGAATTTTTAATTTCAAGATCTAAAATTTCATTTAATCTTTCAGTAAAATCAAGTATACGACTTGTATGAAATACTTGAGAATGATCAATAGTAAT